AAAAAAAGTGAAAATATTCGGAAAAACGATTCTAATAAACGGATATGCTAATTATACGTATAAACGTGTTTTCGTTTAAACGTATAATAGTTAATTACACGTATATTCGGAAAAATGTTTCTAATAAACGGATATACTAATTATATGTGTAAACGTATTTTCATTTAAACGTATAATAGCGAGCCCTAATATATACACTTGTTCCTTGTAATTAATTTCCTTTCTGTAGTAAATGTAGATCGAACCCACGGTATAACCATAATCAGTAGGGATATACTCTGTGAAAAAAAAACGAGTTCGCGCAGACATCGCCGTACAGCTTTTGTTTTGGGCTGAATCCAATGAAATGCAACAAGGTATATATGTATACACGGGGATACAAATGAGAAAGAATGAGAAACCATAAAAAAGCATGCCTGTCTTAATAATAGACAGGGTGTCTTAAAATTCGCGACTCAAAATATTAGAGCAAGAATTCTCAAAAAATTATGTTAAAGAATTATTTATATATTTTTATTTCAAGCAGTAATTTTTTAGATAAAAGTTTAAATGTAACTAATTATATAGACTACATGATTTATTAATATATAGACTACGTTTATAAATAGCCATTTATCCATGAACTGCACGTATAATTGCACTTTAGCGCGCTCACTACTCACAAGTCACAGATGATCATCTAAACCGTAATTAACCATATTTATAAAACCCTAATTTTTGTATAAACTCTTATATCTGTTTATAACCAAAATTTACAAATAATATTTTTAATTAATTTTTCAAACATTTTTCTTGCTATAGGATTTTGAGTCACAAATTTTGGGACGCCTTGTATAAATCAATATTTGGTTCTGTTATTCATTGCGAGTACCAAAAATTTATAGTATACGTAACGTAGACCACAGATTTTTATATAAATAATAGTATACAGCCACTATATTGTATTATTGACCGAGTAACACAGTTACGTTCGACATGAACATTAGAAATCATCTTTACACTGACAAATAACATTAAAAATTTGATTAATTTTTTTAACTATTTAATGAACGTTATAGAAACGTTTATAAAATGTTTGATATCTATTATAAACGGTTTTTTACTAATTTAAAATCTTTAACGCGTTTTGATTGTGTTTTTTTTAAAAACGTAAATTATTCACTTAGGTAATAAATTGATTATAAATTAATCGTCGATTAAGCTGGCTCGAAATCGCGTTTAATCTTTAATTGGGTTTTTTTTAATTGCCTCGAAATTGATCGCCGCCGTTCTCTCGTTCGTAGCTTCGGAAGGTCGTATTTCTTGAAAGGAAACAGAAACGACACTTTTATTTCAGACATCTTATTGGATAGTCTATATATTATTTTCAATTTCCACAACTTTTCATAGACAAAAATTATAACCGCCGCTAGATTCGTGATTGACAAATAATCGAAGCTTATATTTATAAAAAGAAGGGAGGGAGAAGGAAAAAAGGAAAGGATCGGTCTCGTTAAGTCTTAATGATAACGGCGTAATCACGTCGCGCACAATCACTATCGGTAACAGGAAGAGACGCAGAACGTGTAAACGGGTCATCACATGTGTGCGGGGGGGAGGGAGGGGGGAGGGGGAGAGAAATTACGTGTATACGTATCGCTGCTGGGCTCTTCTTTTTCCGCCGTACACGTAACAAAAATACACACTTTCAGACAAATCTGCTTTGAATTGAACATCGATCGTGCGTTGTTGCAAGATTAGGAGTAAAGCTAATGGCTGATTTTCTTTTTCGTTTGCGACATTTGCCGCTTTAATTGCGCATAGCGAATATCGAATGTTCCTGACGCCATGTATCTGTATGTGTGTGTGTATGTGTATATATTTTTTGGTTTTTGAAACTTATGTTGCTAATCTAAACCTATAACTACGTTGAACAACAGGTAAATGTCCTGAACAAAATTATGAGCGGTTCCCCGCCATTATCGCATTATTTTGTCACTCCGCTAAGATATTCTAATCTCGCGAAGGTGCTCTTTTTGCTTCAAACGAAGCGATTTAATGACTAAAAAAACCGATATATAAGCAACACAATTGTCGGATTCGAGCAGAATCTATAGTTTCGTGACCGTTTAAATGAAATGTATCAATTTGCCATTTATTATTGCTGACTCTGTATCAACAAAACTTATAGTCGACAAAACCTGTTTTCGATCGAATAGATTTAATTTCATAAATCAAGGATAAATACTTTCAAACTGTTTTAATTTTCCATTTAGTTATATTTTATTCAAATCAATTTAAATGAAGAAGAAAAGAAAGAAGTTTAAAAAATCTCGTTTGCTTTTTTCCATTGTTTGTGATAATAGAATTTAAAAAGAACTGACCGTATGATTCGTGTGTTGCCGAAAAATTAATATTCAGAATCATAAAAAACAAGGCAGTGTCTAATTTCCTGCCAAAATTAACTCCACTCAAGAAAGTTTGTTAATAAGAAATGCGGCGAAATTGGAACACCTTCGGATACCTGCGGTTAATTTGGCGAGGAAAAAAGCATAATGCGTAATATCTTCAGTGAAGACGTTACGTGCGTGTGTAACGGACGTGTAATTACATTAATTAATTATGTAGAGATGTTCAGTCTCCTCGGAGTGTTGAATATGGAAGGCCGTGTTTGGTTCGAAGATAAACCTTACGAAGATAAACCCCTTCGGTACTGTTAGAGCCCAGACAATGAAACGCACAGACAATAGGAACAGGAAATAATAGACTTCAACTGGAAACCGTGTATTATACCTATACCGTAATGCATGGTTTCTGGTACGTTGAAATCTGTTATTACCTGTTCCTCTTGCCCGTGCTTTTAATTTTGCCTAGGCCTTTACGCTCATATTCATCTCTTCTTCCCTCGGAGCGTTTCCCGTTTTCCATAAATACGGACACTGATGATTCAAATATGACAAAGACGACCGATTCGGTTGATCAACGTTCGGCTCGCGCTTCCTCGGTCAAACGACGAGAATACATATATGTAATTCCTGACACTCTGCTTTCGTTGGTACGACCGCCAAAAGGAAGATTTCACGGTGACGCCCCAATCAGACTGAAGACCTTATAACAGAGTCTGGTTACGAGCAATTTTGTCAAAGAGTGAGAAAGAAGGATATATACTGTCTCTTTTTAGATGCTATCTCATCCTAACTTATATTATTTCACGCATTCTAACTTACTGAAGTTAACAAAAACACGAGGGGCTAATCAAAAGTTTGCCCATCTCGTGGCCAGACTCTGTTATGAGGTCTCTATATCAGACCAAAGTTGAGTTTGAGATTGAGATTGAATTCAATCAATCAAAAGAAAGAAAATCAATATCAAGTTTAGTGAACCTTGCTTTGATTGATCAAACTCATAAATTAAGAGAAATAAATCGATTTTTCGGTCAAAACGGATCTTAGATTAAATATTTCAGAGTGAAGTTTCAAGACCGAAAAAGATTTCGGCGCGCGGTTTGCAGAATTGAATATGTATATAAATTCATTCTGAGATAATTTAAACACTAAGATCCGCTTTGACTGAAAAATAGGTTTATTTCTCTTAATTGATTTATTCTCATCGATCTAATACAAATTGTAATTGTCGATCAAATTCCACCTTAATCTCGATGAATCTCTAGTCTGATATGGGCACATGGTCCTTATAATCTGCATATATCGAAGAAAAATTCAATCTCGCAGTAAATTTCGCTCCATCTCTACTTTTTCACCGCTCTATACATATATATACGTCGAGCGTATCTCTCTCGTCTTTCCGTTTTTCAATTCTTCTCAATTCCTACTCGCTCGAATTATCTATATAGACGAATAGACCTACATCTAGTCTCATGCTAACTCAAAACTATATCGCCTCATATACATATTTGTATTATATATAGATATATTTATATATATGCATATTTTATCAGTCACGAAGTTGTCGAAACCAAGCCTGAGGGTAATTTGATTCGATACTACGATTGTTTAATGATTCAGTCGTAGCGTCATTACGAGCGCGTCGCCCGTATTACACGCAAAAGGAGCTTAAAATCGTAACATTACCATTAAGCGAGTAAGTAACAAGAGCGCGCTGAAGCTATTTTTTTTTTTTCATTTACTTTTTAATCGTCATCGCGATCGGATTGAAAAAGAGCTCGATGAAAACTGATCGATTTTTTTCGACCAGCTGACGCAGAAAATTGTACCGGATATTGAGTCGTGGACTCTGATATGTTTCACACTGTCTCATAAAATTCGTATTAAATGGGCCTCTGCAAAAGATCTGAATGCTGATTATCGTTGCAATGATAAAATGCCATATTCTATTATAAATACGAATTTGTCACTTTTTATATTCCGAGGTACTTGGACTAAAGAGAGTCTGGATCAAGGAAGGTCTGATTCTCACGTCCCTCGGTTCTTCAGCGCGACTCTTGTAAACCCGAGGAAAGCTTCTGTCTGTGAGCACTGTGATTTTCTTAGAACGAGTAAATCCGCGTCGCCGCCGTCGTCACGGCTGCTGCTTATTTCGCCTCCTGCGATAGAAAGGGAGGATAGCTGAAGAGGAGCGACAGCGAGGGCCGTTCGTCGAAAGAGCGCCGACTCCCGGAGAAACGTCGGCTGCTAACATCCTTTCCTTCTGGTAGAATCTCCATCCGGGAGACTTCTTGCTTCTCTTCGTGCGCCTCTAGACAGGCCCCAATGTCGCAGATTACTTAGTAGACCATTCGATGGGGATATTGATAGCTTCGCGGTTGGGAGCTCAACTGGAGTTCAGCAGCGGGATACGCATCGTAACCCTGAAAATACAGGAAAAAAGGGTGTTTTTCGACAATTTTCTTTTGTCTATTTTCATTCTTTCTTTACTCGAGCCCTCTATTAAAGATTCTTATACAGCACAGATCATTCTAGCAATATTACAAGCACGTTTGCAATGTTCCAGTAATATTACAGTAATATTGCAAACGTTACAGCAATATTGATGCAAGCTTCTGTGATATATTGATTGGCTCGAAGCGATTGTCGAGAATTCAATTCACCTGCGATCGTTTCTTGGACACCATGAACCTCTTCTGGGGATAATACGCGGCACGTTGTGGATAAAGGAAATCGTACTGCGGATTAACGTGATTGCCGTATTGCGCGGGGCTTTCATATTGCTGATCCAGCTGCTTTCCGTACTGCTCGTAATAGCTGGGCGGGTGGGTTCGGACTATCCCGATGTCAGAGGGCGACAATGTGTCGTAGTGCCGCGAGGGATACACTGGCGTCAACCATGGGAGAGCTACAAAGGAATACAGAAAAGGATACAGAACTGGTGAAGAGGTAGAAATCCTCGCTAAAGAAATTCATTATCCTTTTATTATTTTTATTTTCGTGCAGCTGGATCGTAATTATAGAATCGGACAGTTATCAACACGAACCGTTTCTAGGGTCTTCCTCATCAAGGAAATCGCCGTCGTCTATCTCGTATTCATCGTTAGCATATTTGCGCCAGTTTCTATTCATGGAATAAAAATAAGATCGAAGAATTAAGCATCATATATTTATGGAAAGATTGGAAAAGATTTGAAAAACGCTAATTACCCGTTACGCTGTTCGTTTTCCCACAGTGACAGGAGGGTCAACACGTCATCAGGGTTGATGTCCAGAGGCAGCTCGCGCTTGTATCGTGGTTCCTGGTAGTACGGGATGCTGAAAATTCAAGTAAAAGCGTTCCTATAATCTCCGACAACATTTCAGCAGGTCTTTTCTCGAGAGGACTTAATTCTACTCGCGTGATCTTTTTTTAACGTAATTACTCGCGAGGGATGTTTCTGACACCCCAACATTATATCCTAATTCCTATTGTTTTCTTTGATAATTTACAATTAACTTAATTGCTGGTTTGCTCAAATTTACTTATACGATATCTAGAGATCCTAAAAAGAGAGACTCGCCAACTGGTCACGCCAACTGGTCAATAGTCGTTGAAGGCACAGACGTAAGACTTCTGTTCGACCTTGCAACAAAACAAATAACTGGATATTGACGTCCTTGTACATAGACAATCTCAGCATTGTTAAGTTTTTAAAAAAAACAATACTGAACTCCGCTATCTATTCATTTTCTCAAAATTCACAATAAAAAAATCGACTGTGCCTTAAAAAATAAATTTTCACTGAAAAAAGATCTTACATTAATAGACAAAGTCATCAAATGTTGAAGAAAAAGTTTTTAAATCAAATATTAGTAAGAGAATAAATAACATTTAGAGTCAAATAAACCTGAACAGACCAGCAGAGTTTTTAAATAAAGATTAATAATAATCTATACATTCTTTAAATAAAGATAATTGCAAAAAAATTTTTTAAATTGTGAAACAATTTGTACTAAATATAATAATGTGTATAAATAGCATTCATTCATTCATTTAGCGTACTTATAAGGTGTTCTGGATATTCAATGTGACGGTTAAATAATAAAGGGTTAAATAATAAAGGGTTAATAGCGCAGATCTAAAAACAGTCATCATGTATTTTTATCCAGGTAAAAACGTACGATACTTGATAATGAAGTATGCAGTCTACAATGATTCGTCGCGGACGGATTCACTTGTTGATAATACTAAACAGATGTGTCAAGGAGAAACGACGATCTAATCGCGGCTACAAAAATTGTCGTTTTTTCCGACGATGCTCAGATCGATGTCTCGCAATCTCGTTTCGGAATCGCTTCGTGAATTCATTATTCCACGCTGCGTTCGCGCAGCGTCTATATTTCAAGATTGATCGATGCTTATCCGTGACGCAAAGCGACCGACGACGATCACAGACGACTCGTCCCTACATCGCGCGCTATTGTTCTCCGGCATGAACGGCACCAGCTTTATCTCGTTGTCGACGGACTGTCCTTTGTGTGAGCGAGTTTCACGATAGCTAGCATTCAAACTTGTATTCGATACAACGGCGAGTACGGGGACAATACCGCGGACAATACGCGCCTTCGATGGTGAGAAACGATTGCTGCGACGACGATTGTCGTCGTCCATTGTTGATTAACAGAGAAAGTCATCTCGCAATCATCCAACCCAAGAAACACAAAAGTCAAAATGACTTTATTTTGAATCTTAACGTCAATATACAGTTAAATTTTGTAACCAAAAATCATCATTTTGATCTTCATGACGTTAAAATAAAGTTACTCTCTTTGACGTTATGAAAGTCGCAATGATGAGTTCTGGTAAAATGAAAATAATGATTTTGACTTTCATAACGTTAAAATGATTTTATTTTGACGTCATAAAAGTCAAAATGATGACTTCGGTTAAAAAATTTTACTGCTTATTGACATTAAGAATCAAAATAAAATAATTTTGATTTTTTTGTTGAATTTGACGTGTTCCTTAGCTGTTACACATCGCGTTTGCGATAAAACGATCGATACTGATGCCTGGCAGGGACTAACGCTGATCAACTGATAGGCTGGCTATGTGCCAAACACTCGTAGGATACTTTCATTCAGCTTTTCGGCGTTTATCAGAGCGTAGTAAGGACTCTGGCCCTTCGCGGTCTTTGCGCCGCCAAGGCTGACCACACGTCGGTTCTTACTACTGCAATTTATCCGTCTCGATTCCGTCTTAAGTTCACCTTACATCCATTTCTACTAATGCAGATTAACTGTAATTTTGGCTTAACTTACTTTTTATTCTCTTTTCAAATTTTAAGGATTAATGGAGATAAAGAGTAAATTAAATCGAGATTAAAATTGATCGATAAAATACTGGGTATTAGACGATTAATTTGCGGCAAAATTCTATTTTGTATAAAAAATATATATACATTGTAAACGGTAAAAAATTAATTCAACGAACCTTGCGAGACTGAAGAAGCGAATTTTATACTGCAGTGTAAAGTTTAAAGGAAATTAAGAGATGAAAAGATCATCTCTTATATGTAAAGTAATTTTCACCTTTTTTATGTTTAAAAAAATCCTTAAAGATATCAAAAAATATGTTATATAAAAATTTTATAATAAAATTATTTCTACTCATCTCTCTACATCAATAATATTTTTAAAAACTAATTTTTCTCAAAATCTATATGTTTTGTTATTTTTTGAACACATATTATGATGTATAAAAATGAAGGTAATTTTACTTATAAAATTTTCATATAAAAATCTTTTTATATCTTAAATAGTTTTTAAAATGTAATGAAAAAAGCCTGCTTTACATATAAGAAACGATTTCACTCTTTAAAACCGTTCATTAGCTGCAATTAATATTTTCTAAATTCATTTATTTACGTGACCTGTAATCAAAGTTCCATTAAAATCAGAATTTCGAGAGGTTCTCTTGCCATCGGATGTGCTGAAAGTGCTCGACGCTTTTATCTCATTAACGTTAGTTTTTCGGCACGTGCCGCTTATAATTCTTCTAATCGATTAATCTAGTTCATTACGTCGGCGTTTCCTCTATTGATCTGCATCCGCGACGGAACGCCTCCATTCAAACTCTCGAAACGGGGACGGGGCTGTTGTCTAATGCGTCAGCAGGATTATTATACCATCGACGGAAGAACAGTACGTGGAGTGCAGCGGAGGCTCATCCTGTCGCAGCCGGAAGTATCGTCGATAAATCCGCGGGGTATGCTTGCCAGATGATTGGTCGCTGATACCGGCGAACAATCAAGCTCTGACCTACTTTCGCCTCCATCCCGGCTCCATTCAGCTTTTCGTGGGCCCACTCTCTCTCTCTTTCTCTCTCTCTCTCTCTCTCTCTCTCTCTCTCTCTCTCTCTCTTTCTCGCGGATACTCAACCACCACCACCGCCACTATCACCTGCGTCACGCGTATCGAGCGATTCGTGCACTGCACCAAATTCTCCCCCCGTGTGGGTGTGCGCGGCCACATTCGTGTGCCACGATGCCGTATGCACAGGCAAACACGTACATTCGTCTAAAGCCCGTTTCTACCAATATAGATCCAGATAGCGCAGAGAGTATCAAAAAGGATTCAAAAGAATTCGGTACGTCATCAATTCTGAATTTGTTTACAAATGCAAAAAGAATTCTTTTTCTGAAAAGTATTCTTTTTGCATTTAAAAATAAACTCAGATCGAACTAATGGCATATGACTGATCCTTTTTCAACTCTGTGCTATCTGGAAATTAACTTAATCTCAGTTCAACTTACTTCTTAATTTTTTCTAATTCTTAGAACCAGGAAAAGATGAAGAGTTAGTTGAACCGAGATTAAAATTAAATTGCATTAGTAGAAACGAGTATTAGAATTAGAAAAAAATAAAGAGTACTCTTTAAATTCTTTGGAATGGAATCTCATTCTAAAGAGCGAAAATTGAGCCAGTCTTGAAAGAGAGTGGCTCAGTGTTCAATTCTTAAGAGTAAGATTTCACTTTTCAGAGTGACAACTCATTTTTAGAGCGTAAGTTAAAACTGAGATTAAAGTTAATCTACACCATGTACCTTGGTAGAAATGAACATAAATCCTACGTTCGCTTTGTACTGCACGCAGGAATTATTTCTGTCTTATTATTTCTCTCTTTTTCCGCGAGAATATGCGAGGATGGTCCAAGCCACGGATCGTTAATTCGCAAGAACAATAACGGTTTTTTTACCTTTAGACGTTTGAAGATTCCGACAAAGTCACGCCGAGATCTACAATTTCAATTTCAAAATTCTAATTCTCTGATTAATTTCAAAGAGACTTTCGCTGAGATGTCGAGAATCGAAGAAAGGAGAATTTTTGTACGAGTTAAGGAATTAGATACCACACACATCGTCTTTGATTAAATTAGTTTTTTCACCATTTTAATTTAATTCAATGTAATAAAATTGTAATATAAATTGTAATATAAATATTATTAATTACATCAAACAAAATTTCTATGAGATCTTGGCTGAAGAAATTTTAACACAATTTTCCTCAATGCCGCGCAAACACGCGTTCTTTTTCATGAAAATATATTCAAAGTGCTTTTAACAGCGAGTGCTTCTATTATTACGACACTCGTGTCTAAGGATAACGCGTTATGTAATCGCGTTTACTATAATGGAAACGGTTACCGCGTTATAAGAATTTCATCGAGGAAAAAATTAATCGTTATCGTGTCCGTCCGGGGTGACCTGTGACATTTGCGACGGTCAGGCAATACATTCCCGTACATTTTTCGTGTAAAAATAACGGACCGCGATGGCGATGGCTGTTAACTTTGAGACGATAATAATGTCCGCTTGACGGCAGTCCCATGTATGTGTGTTTAATTTTAAACACCGGCCTTAGGCAATTCCGTGCGAAGCGCTTTTACGGCTTCGATATCGAGGGCTCGCGTGTTCACGCGATTTCCTGAAATTAGATTCGGCTCTCGATAAATCTGCATCGCGCTCACCGGGAAAGCGTATTTTTATCTCGCGCCGTCGCGCGATCGCGAGCCGAACGTAAACGTTGCGTTATTAAGCGTCGTAACATCTTATCCGTTTCATTTGCTTTCATTGGAGGGGAGAGGGAGACACGTCAAAGGCTAATATTACCTTTGTACGACAAATTTTTCAAGCCTGTTATGCAGTCCACGATGGGAGTAATATTTGGTGCTTTCTAGCAAAAGACATACACTGTAACATAGCGATCATTTCATCTCTGTTTAACGTTGATAAACAATAAGGATGTAATGGCTGTGTTCAGCAGAAAAAACTAATCAGTTAGCGCTTAGTGATTCTTTAATATAATTGGTTCTTGCTTTTAGTTCTTCACTGGATCTGAGTGTAGGAACCAATTATATTGAAGAATCACTAAGCGTTAACTGATTAGTTTTCTCTGCTGAACACAGCCATTGACTGTGTCACATCATGTCTCTTACTAGAAGGCACCCATTGTGTGTAGTAAGCAGTAAGTTGTAAGAAATTGATCAATTATAGTTGATTTTCCTGACATTCAATTGCAATCGATTTCTTACGGCTTGTAACTTACTGCACCATATAGACGATCCTACTATAATTGGCAGCAGGACAGAAAGGGGGGGGGGTTGCGAATCTTTCTATCCTACAACCAATCAACAGACTCGAAAAATCTCTCATACGATAAATAGGCCTGTTCTTTTTGGCTGAACTTCTGCACCAGTTCATCTTCCTTTTCTTTCCTCCTGGAGAGAAAAGGAAGAAAGATGAACTGATACAGAAGTTCAGCCAAAAAGAACAGGCCTAATGCAATACCAGCCAAAGAATGCGACGAGTGAGATCGTCAATTATCGTTACAATCGTCAGATGATCCTCGTAATCTGATTACACAGAAGCTTGCAGCAACGTTCTTGCAACAATTTTCAATTTTACTGCAATATTTAGGCTTCGTAGCAGCAATCTTGCTGACGTCTTATCTTTGCCTATAATATGTCTCCTGCATTTATTTTGTCTTCTTTTAATTTTCTTTTGTATCTGGATATAAGTATTGTATAATAGTAACAAAGATTATTATCATTATTATTGCTGAAACGTACGTTGCAGTATTGCTGGAATGATCTATGCTGTATGGGTGAATACCAACATCGAGCGGTTGGCGAATCAATGCGCCAAGATGCCGGATGTGAAACTTCCGATGATTTCATTCGGCTGAAATTTTAAACAGCACCAGTCGAGCGTACGCTACTGATATGGTCTCCGATGACGGCAATCTCTCTTTCACTCTATCTTTCTCTCTTCCTCTCTCTCCCCCTCTCTCTCTCTCTCTACAAATGGTTCGATACGACTTCGGTCGTCAGGTCGACCGCCGCCGTCCCTGCACCGAGGGCAACGCCCTTTCACAAGCCCTCTCATACCCATTCAGAAGAAACGCCGGAGGAAAAGAGGGATGCTTGGTGGGTGGAAAGGGTGGAAAGGGCGCGCACGGTGATGCATAGCCCTCGCGCGCCGAGGTACACCGAGTAGTCGATCCTCACTTTACATGAGGGGGTTTCCGTTATCATGCCAAACTCAACAACGCGCGCAGCTCCGAGGGTAAAGCCCTGCGCATAATGGAAGGAAGCATTAGGAATAGGAATACAAATATTGAGATTTTAACCTATTAAAAGCCGTTTATTCCGGTGTAACCGGTTTCTGATTGGTTGAAATCTTGATGCTTATGCTCCTGATATTCTTCCATCTCAAATAGAACACAGAAGTCATAATAATATCATAAGGACGTCATCGCGATCTTATTTGTCATTTATATATAAGTTCATTTTTAAATATGACGTCATGATGATGACGTTCTATAATATCATTATGATTTAATTGTGATTCTACCTAATTTGGAATTGTGCACAACTCTTAATTCACAATATCGCAGGGAAAGGAAGAGAGAGAATCATACAATATATTAACTCTCACAAAACTTATTTTCGCGTTCTCGATTTCCGATATTTCATCACCGATGCGACAATTTAATATCGGCCTGGTGATCACAGATAGGCCGTGTGGCCTTCTTCGCAAATCGACTTCCAACTAAATAACGTTTCACAATTTCACTCTCTTCGGCTCTTGAAATATAAGCGTGGCAAAATAAAATGTAGCCGTTACGAGACCGCCGTCGCGATCGTCCACTCGGCCGCTTTCGAGGATTTCGTTACCTACCGCAATCTAGCAGCGGTTACTCCCGGGAATATCGATCGACGCGGGGTTATCGATTTCCAGGGAGAATTAGGAGTAAGTAGGACGCGGCCACTTACCTCCTCTTAACTTGAGCCTGCACCGGCTGCGGGGTAGGCAGAAGGCTGGGCAGACGTCTTGTTTGAAACGAACTCGTCGGAGGCTGCAACGTGGTGCTCGGTCGCGCGGTCGCGGTGGACTTTTCCGATCTCTTGCGCCGATTCTCGCCCGCGTAATACCGCGAATACGGCTCTGTGTCCCACACCCGCGGTATGTCTTCCTCGACCTCATTCACGATGATTTTTCCGCTGAGACACAAATAATTCTCGTTACGGCGAATCTTGCCGATCAAGAACGTTGGGTACTTTCTATTTGGTGATACAAGTCGACACAAGTACCATTCTGTCTTTGTTATTCGTTGAATGCCAAGAAAGATGGCTACTTGTTTTATAATATTAAAATAAGGCATTTTATTGTACTGATATTATATTAATATATATATTATATTGTTTAATATATTATTATTAATATATTATATTATATTATATTCAATACTTTTTATATGATTGTCTTAAAAATTGATGATTTTTAGGACAACCATAAAATATTATATATATATTAAAATAATAATATAATCTCTAAATTCTTTGAAGTGAAAACTCATTCCAAAAAAGTTAAAATTCTACCACTCTTGAAAAAGGGTGAGATTTCACTCTTTCAGAGTAAGATGGAATTTCAAAGAATTTAGATAGTAATATTAATATAATACCAGTCTATAATAAAATGTCTTAAAATATTATGAAATGTATTATGTAATATTTTTAATATATATTATAAGCGCAATAATTCTACATAGCACGCTTTATCTAAACGTTTTTAGAACGTTCCTTAAAGATCTGTATCGTATAGAATATAACGAAAAAAAGTAAATAAAGCTCTCGAATGTTGCACGGCATTCAAGGAAAATTAATACAGCAGGCCATTAAATTCTAAAAATATAATAATCTACGAAGCGAAAAAAATGTATTCCGTTTGTCGATCAAATCGAACGTTACGTTGAAATAGTTACATAATTCGAGGTATTACATTCTGAATAATTTATCTTCACTGGTGCGAAAACTAGACTTACTCGTAATTCTTATCGTACTGCAAGTGCGACTCCTGATCGTACATAGTGTTGCTGGGTGATTTCTGGGTCGAGGATGGTTCATCGTAGTTAATGAGAGCCGCTCTCAAGCCTCCCAGTCCCGAGAGAGTTCCTACATACGTAAATGAATTCCAGAGATGATCCTCGTACAATATTCGCTGGATTATATAACGCATTATATGTTTTAATCTTTTATTACTCGCGTGAAATATCCAGGACACTCGGCCACCTCATAAATTCGCTAAATGTATCCATGTTATTTACATCTATTGTCATATTTAGTACTAAATGTTTAACGATTTTTAAAAATTATATTTTATTATCTACAAATGTTATTTATTTTCATTGAAAGAATGTGCAGAGTGTTATCAATTTCTATTTAATTGTAAATAATTAAAGAGAACCATGAAAATTGAGATATAACGTTGGGGTGTCAGAAACACCCCACGCAAGTAATTACGCTAAAAAAAACCACAAGAGTGATATATTTTTATTTAAAGAACGTATAGGATGTTATAAATATTTATTTGATTATAAAGAATTAAAGGGACTCATGAAAATTGAGATATGTATAACGTTGGGTGTCAGAAACACCCCAAGCGAGTAATTAAGTTAAAAAAAAAATCACGCGAGAGTAATGTATTTTTATCTAAAGGAGATGATATCAATTTTTTTATTTTATTAGAAATAATCAAGGAGAACCATGAAAGTTGAGATAAAACGTAGAGGTATCAGAAACATCCCACGCAAGTAATTACGCTAAAAAAAACCACAAGAGTGATGTATTTTTATCTAAAGAACGTATCGAATGTTATAAATATTTATTTGATAAATATAATTAAAGGGACTCGTGAAAATTGAGATATAACGTTGGGTGTCAGAAACACCCCAAGCGAATAATTACGTTAAAAAAACCATGAGTATTTTTATCTAAAGGATGTTATCAATTTGTATTTTATTGAAAATAATCAAAGAGAACCGTGAAATTGAAATAAAACGTAGGAGTATCAGAAACACCTCACGCGAGTAATTATTTTTATCTAAAGGATGTCATCAGTTTTCATTTAATTGTAAATAATCAAAGAGAACCGTGAAAATTGAGATACAACATTGGGGTGTCAAAACACTTCACGCAAGTAATTACGTTAAAAAAAAATCACAATAACAACTGTAGTTTTCTTTAAAGAATATATAGAATATTATCAATTTTTATTTGTAAATAATTAAAGAGAACCATGAAAATTGAGATATAACGTGATCAGAAACACCCCATGCGAGTAATTAATTACAAAAAAACCACGCGAGTAGTGAAGAATTAATAAGTAACTTACGTTTTTCTATATTCGAGGTGAAGGATTCTCCAGCGGCGGTACCAACGGCAGCAGCATTAGCGGCCTGTCGATTCTGCTGGTTGCCGAACATCAGTATCTCCTGGGTTCGTTTTGCTGAAAGCGACATTGCGGGGCGTTCAAGCGAATCGAAAGCGAATAAAAATCGAAAAATAAATAATTCGATCTCGACGAAAATACGCGATTAGATCTCGAGCCTTACATTTCGGATTCATGACCTGGTCCGCCTTCTCCGCGTCCTCCATCAGGTTCGTAGGCAGGCACATGCCTACCGAGACCAGTGAGAACAACAGCAGCAACAACCACGCCCAGTTACACGTCATCTGCGACAAAGTTGCGGGATTTTCATTGCCGGTTGTGTTCGCGATGACGCACCGTTTTCAGGGTCAGAGCTTCGCGACACTTTTTTTGCGCCTCGTGTCTCCCACCCTCGAGTTCTTCCTCTTGACATCGGATTTCCGACCGCAGTAATCTCAGGACCAATAAACCACAGGTCTGTTCTTTTCACCTAAAGTTCTTCCACGGTTCATCTTTCTTTCTTTTCTTTCCACGTTGCGTTGGAGAGAAAAAGAGAAAAAATGAACCGTGCAAGAAGTTCAGCTAAAAAGAACAGGCCTCATAATTTACCCAAGGAACACATAAAAATCAACAAAAACTCAAAATAATTTTATTTTAATTCTTAACGTTAATAAACAGTCAAATTTTCTAACCAGAAATCATCATTTTGATTTTCTTGACTTGATTCTCGGCTATTTAAGCCTAAAAGACGTCTTACATCTGTTTCTATCAATGCAGTTTTATGCATTTTATTCTAATTTTAGTCTCGGTTCAACTAACTCTTTTTCTAGTTCTAAAAATTAGAAAAAGATGGAAAGTAAGTTGAACAAAGATTAAAGTTAATTTACATTAATAGAAACGGACATTAAAGACATTTTTTTAAAGACGTTTTAAAGACATCTTTAAGATGCCTTATGCTTCGATTTTAGACTTTTTGTTGTCTACGAAGTTTTATTAATTATCGGGCCACCGTACTAAGAAAGCTCAAATATGTAAATGTCATATAATGCGAAATGTCGAGAGTCTATTTCTACTGTGTGTGGAGAGACCGAGTGTAGGAGCAACAAGGGCGCTCGATAAAAGGTCTTGTGCATATGTTTGCGATTACATAAAAATATTACGTCGTGGAGAGATTCTATAATAAAATATCTTCAGATATGACGCCGTCGTCACAGCGGCCGACGACGTCACGACTTCATGTAATCGACGCGGTTTACTTTCTTCGGTTATGACGTTGACGTTACTGTATGACGTAGACAGCGAGAGAGTTCCCCAGCCGCTTTACGTCACACACATGTATGTAACTTGATAGGTTAACTTTATCGAACTTTTGTTTTATCGCGTGACGGCGATATGTGCAGCTCCACGTGTGTATAAAAAGATTCCTTGAGAAATAATAAATATCCTAAAAGGAATGGGAAAAGCGATAATTTTCAGTAGAAAAAATGCTGGCAGACCCGACTCGATTTTGCGCGGTTATTTTAATTTAACGTGAATAAATTTACGCGTCTATATTAAGTTCATTAACAGCTGTTCGATTTATCAAGAATTTCATAATGCTGGAAGGCATAAGTTTCCGCGGGTTGCACGATCGAATTACACCGCTTAATTGCTCTCAATTGGCTTCTCATTAATGAATTACGGAGTGCCTCTGAGGGTAAGTTAACCCGTGTAATTACGTGAAACTCTAATGGTGATGCTGGAAATGGCTGCGGAGAGTAGCGAGCGCCCGGACGGTGCTGCTTGGAAATGTCAGAGTTCAAAATTGCGTGCGGAAAACGACATGTATTTGCGAAATTGCGTATTTACAGTATAGCGACACTCTCGGATATTGCATTCCACGCAATTTTGTACAAAGCAAATGGCTCGAAATTTATACGCAATCTGGAAAGTTTAATCGTCGGATTCGGTACTGAAAAATACATGACCTCTGACCTTTCGAATTTTGCACTAGACTCTTTTTTTGCACATAGAGGTCACTTAAATTTGCATTTTATATAATTGAAATTTCACTCGCTTCGATAATAGACGGTATCCATATCGATATGGATTAAACGACATTTAAAGTGGAACAAATAGAAATTAATGTCACAGTTAAAACTGTTTTCGCGACAGTTTCGTTATTGACGCTGCGACGCGGTTCTCAATTAAACGATCATTGGATTAAATGCTTGGGAATTATTCCCGGAATTGACATTCGCCTAAGTCCGAAAACGAATGGCGAAGTTTGACAATTAAAGCGAGCCGTTTGCAGTAACGCCAAACCGGATATAGTAGACCTAGAAATCGTACACTTGTTGCATCTGCAAATACTATAGTCATTTATCGGCGTGTACGAGCTACACGGCTAGGTAAATCGCAATTAAAAATGCATTTCATTGAATGAGAATCTCATTGACGAGTTAAGTGTGCATAAAAGCCTTCTCTCACGTATGTATATGCCATCGCCATAATTAATTCTAATTTATTATAACAGCATGGCAAGCACAAACACATTATCGTTTCAAAGAGGATCAACGACGAAATTATAAAGCAACATTTAATCTCGAAACACACACACACACACACACACACACACACATACACATACACACACACACGCACGCACGCGCGCGCGTGCACACGTAGCCAGCTGTTCAAATTTCTTAAATTAAAATAGACATAGAAATGTGAATCTTTCTACGAATATCGCAGAAATTGAATAACATTCATTGAGATAAAATTAAATTCGACTCGGAGTGCAACTACCTGTATGAATGTGTCGAAAGTGGCCGGCTACGTGACGATAAAACGCGTTTACAATTACATTCACCGCTCGAATTTCAGAATCTGTTTTCGTCCGAAATTATCAACAACGGAATGAAAGGAAGAAGCTGCATGAAGAAGCGAGGAGTGTCTATATACCTTTCGAGATGCAGTAATTTCGCTAAGTTCGTCCTTGTACGCTTGTCCCTTCCTCTCGTGAATCTCGCGACGATCCTTCGGCTGGCGCCCGGGTGGAGAACAGGCACGTCCTAGCGGATCCGCCGGCTCGGGGTGGAATGAATGTCGGGGCTCGGCAGGACGAGTAGAAAAGCGGGGTACGGTCGATCAACCAACCCCCACCTTGGTGAACGAGCATTCCCCGTCTCTCGCCTCGTGGTGGCGAGCACCCTACGACGACGCCGTTGACTGCGCGCGCGCTGCGTTTCCTCGCATACGACGCCGACGGCAGGCAGTGCATGCGTGTGTGCCGTACACGCGTGTGGGTGCCGCACACACGAGCCCCACACAGCCGTTGATACAAGGGACGTTTCTGCCCACGCGATGACCCAACTACGTCTTCCCGACGGATCCCCGGCTTCCTACGTGGCGTAAGGATCGCTTTGCATGGAAATCATGTTGTTATTTTGCTGTCGAAAGCCTGTCAGTCGACATTATCGGAGCCATAAGATTTTGTTATCGAACATTGGCCATTGGTCTGATAGTCATCACTAAGAAAAAAATATTCTACATTTAATAAATTTTAATAAATATTTATTTGAACAGTGGAAACTAAATGTTTATTTACATTAAATAAATATTTACTTTGCAATAAAAAGAAATAATAGTTAAATTAAATTAATGATTTTGTGCCAAATAAATTGTATCTTTATACTTAGTGAATATTTAGTTGGCACTATTCAAACAAATGATTTTTTTAAATTTAGTATAATATATTTTTCAACGCGTGGATGGAAAGTCCCTGTGTTCTGCAGTCTGTTAATAATTAGTATAATGTAGCCTTTAATTTTCTTCCTCTAATTGTAAGCTTCCCTCTGCAACGTGAATTTTAATTATTTCATCAGTAACAGAGGTCTTTGAGAAACACAGCAATTTTTTATCGTTCCATATTATAAAACTCCAAAAAAATTCTGATATATTTATCAAAGTTTTAACATCGAATTTTTGTCATCACCGAAAATTCGAATTGTATTTTACTTATTTTTTATAGATTTGAATTTATCTACAGTGAAAAAATATTGTTATATCAACTGCAGCATATTGTTTTAATTGAAAATAATTTTGTTAATTTAATAACACTATTAATGAGACAAATATGTCATGCTTTTGTTTGAATAAAATTTTATTTGTTTCATTAATACTGCTATTGAATTAATAAAATTATTTTCAATAAAAATAATGCTATTAATATATAACATATTTTTTTTATTGTGTCAAAGTTCATAATCAAAATATTGATGACGCCTTTAAGGAACCCAGTTGCTAGTGGAGGGTTAAAGCCGTCTTCGGGACATAAAACCGTATCGAGACATTTTTGAACTCCTCGAGATATTATTGAATTCTATATGGAGATCTACGTCCTTTGTAAGATGGAGAAGAATACAAAGGCAGCTTTAGTCGTCTTTTAGGACAACAAATCCTTATTGCCGTAATTCAATATTTCTGTAATTCAAACGATGCTTTTCTTCGAAAGGGCAGATCCGCTCTCTCGTCAGCCCTTGAAACTCAACGCGACCGTTAAATATATACGGCTCGTCTCATCTTGAAAGAATGCAGCCTTCACCTTAACAGGATCGAGGAGAAACTACAAAGTATGCGATTATTTATATTCTTTATTAAGCTATTTCTTTTCTCTGCAGCTTTTAATATTGATAATTTTCTTCATAAATTTATATAAGAGCGGGAGACAATCTAGCATTCCTATCTTCAATCTAACGTTAAATTAAAATACCAGCATAAAAGAAAAGAAAACCGACACGTTTCGCTATTGTTAGTACCCCATCGCACAGGCCACAGACACTCGATAGAATTAATAGAAAGTTAAAACACTACCGGGCATAGCAACCCCACTGCGTCATGTAATGTCTACGATGACGTTACCTGCTTGTCTTTAATTTTAATGCGATGATTATGCAAACGTCATAGGGATAGTTTTCTTTGGCATTTCAAACGGTGACGTTATACGCGACGCGGCTCTACGGTCTATGACAGTAACATGTATACTTAAGTAGTAGAACCGTGTATTTTCAGTCGGTACATTATATGTATATATAGGTATCTATCGTTCCAATCTCCACTTCTCAAACATTTATTTTCTCAATGCGAACGTTCCAATAAAAGAAATTGGCACGACAATTAAAAGGTTAGATTGTAATAACAGCGAAAAGATAAGACGGTGGAATTAATAAAAATTCAATAGGAACGCAAAATTTAAATGCATTTCAACTTCTTTACCTTAAATATTCTTTTTAATCTAAAGCTATATAAAAAGTGACAAATTCAATAATAAACTATTGGACTTTAATCATATTCACTTCAATGTGTGCGCTTCGAATTTGAATTTATTTTTATTATATATATTTTTATTATATATTTCATGTGTCGTAATAATTTAATGCTTTAATTTTTGACAATTTTCATTCACAAATCTTAAATAAAATTCATGTAAGAAATATGGCTGAAGATGTAATACAATAAAAAAACTTGGAAGTCTCAAGTTTCTTAATCTGAAGGCACACTTTAACCGTTTTTCTGTCGATTTCCTTGATTCACATAAATTATATTTACAACGTCGAAACAAATTTTGGGAGTGCTCGAGTTTAGGGATGAAAATCCAACAACGGCGAAGTCAGCACGACCTAGCGCGCCATGAGAGAGAAGAGATTCCCTCTCCGGCCTCCATCCTTCGTTCTGTATTCACCCCAATCACCTAGCTTCAGCCCCCGCAACAGGCCGTACACCTACGCGAGAACGTTACGGCGCCCACGCGCGCTTCTACCCCACATCGAGAATCGAGCTGAGATCAGGGGTTGGGCGGAAGGGAGCGTATTTTTTTTTCTCGCGTCAGACCTCCGCGTCAGGGTTTCCCTTCCCAACCGCTTGAGCGGCACCGTTCGCAACGTACACGCGAAAACAATAAAGATGACAAATGTCCTCGATTATTTCATTCTTGCATACTTTATTCTGTCGTTTTCATACAATTTGAAATATATAATCTGTTGTGGAGGAATATATATGTAGATCGCCTTTTCCGTTTTAAAAAGAAGGAGCTCTTTATTTTTATTGAATTGGACCACGCCATGTATGCAGAGTACTCTTCTACAGCACGAAATATTGCAGCGACGTTGCAGCAATATTACTTAAAAAATTTCAATATTTTATAAAACATTCCTGCAATATTTTGAGAAATATCGCAGATATATTGCTGCTTTTTTATTGGCGATATCTCAATAAACAATTCTGCGCGGTCTGATTGGCTCATAATGGAATGCTCTTTTCCTCTGGGCGACCAATCAAATGTTTATTTATTTTCTGTTTGTTATTGTATATTGTAAGTGTAGATCTATAAATATTTCCATTTCTCTAGAAGTAGGATTCCTTTGATCAACCCTTTTTTTACATGCGGCCCCCCCCCCCCCGGAGCCCGGATCCCTCCACATATACAAAAAATTTACTTCGCCGCCCCTGTTCTGTATGAAATATTGCAATATATTATATATATATGTATATACATACTGCAATATTATAATTTAATAAATAAGTAGGTAGTACCTATTTATTTATAAAATTGTTTTATAAATTTATTTATAATATTGCAATAAGATATTGTAATATTTCCTACAGAATATTATAGTTATAATATTATAACAATATTGGTGTGCAATAAATATTTAAATTACGATATTGCTGCAATTTTTGTATTGTAATATTATGCACTATTAAAATATTGCTGCAATATTTCGTGCTGTAGGGATTGTCTTTGGAAATTTTTTTCATGTATGAATATCTTTGTTATTTTTGCAAACAGTGATCTTGGGAACCCCTGCTCTGTAAAGAGGTGGCTCTAACCCTGGAAATATGTCTAAGACTCTCGGGGGTGGCGTCGTTGCACTTAAAGTAATATCACGTTCGATAACATCAACAGAGTACTCGAATAGCTGTGAAGAGACTCATTCCTTGACGAGCGAAACGAAAACTGACATCGAGGTCATAAACGTGGATTATTTTCATCTATGTGTAAATATTATTTGCCTTGTAACAATATTTATTTTGGCGAAACATACTTCATATTTGTACAGCTTTATGTGAATATTAATCTTGATGACAAAAGTTGCCGGCTTAAAATCCACTTTGGGCAATCCATAAATTCGCGACAGAATTCGGAACGGGTTCCTATTTATAAATATTTTATGTCGCGTGCTTTTTATATGCGTGTGCAAGTTCTCCAGGTCAATTATCCAATGTATTACACGACACATAAAATTATAAATAGAATTCTGTCCCAAATTCTGTCGTGAATTATAAACGATCTGAAAATGAGTTTAAGCCAATTTTAGATAATTTACGAATCACGGTTCATTTCTATTCGTAATTTTGCTAGCATAAATATGATAATGCCATTTAGTTCTGATTCATGACACACTTTACTGATGCTTAAAAAAGCATTATATCTTTTAGTTTAATACAAGTGTGCTAAATTATATATATATATGTACATGTAATTTTAACTTTGAGATATAAAATATGTGGAGGCGTCTTGTAATATATGCATATATAATTATAAATACATAAGCCAGTTTTATAATAAGACCTACAATGTGATTTCTGTTCGTAATTTTGTATATTAGATTACATAATAACGCCATTAATTGTTTCTGATTTGTATGGCATACTTTACATAATGTTTAAAACACTTTTAGTTTATATCCTTTAGTTTAATACAATTAGAATTAAGTGTGCTAAATTATATATAATTATAATATAATTATACATGTATATATATCTATATATAATTTAATTACATAAATCAATAAATAATTTAATAATATATATGAATAATTATATATGGCGTATATAATTGTATATAAATTAATTATATAAATAAAAACAATATGCAAACATATACATACATATAAATTATGTGCAGAGTGTTTCTCAGAATTTTAAAGATAAACTTCAGGGAATGGTAGAACTCAAGAAACTTTTATTAAGAAAATTGTATCCTCTTTCGCATTTTTAAGGAGCTGCACGTCCTTGTTCGCATCGGCTGTAAGTACACAATCGATCGCGCGGTAGTATTACGTGTGTCGTCTGACAATATTGGTCTAAGCTTCTGTTTCTTTTGTTATCTTTTTGCAAAAA